TTTTTTACTTTTTTTTTTCTGCATCGACTTTTTATTTAATATTACTTTTGACGCCGTTCACCGACATTGTATTCTCGGTTAACAATGTTGATTTTTTTTTTCTTGATTTTCTACGAACTTTTTCCTTTGACTTTTTTTCCGATCAACACAATTAATGTATAATATAATAATAATACTATATTAATATCTAGTATCGTAATATTAAAATTACAAACTTTTAACAAAGTTTTTATCTGAAATTCTAGGGCCTAATACAATTTAAAAAAATTCTAAAATCCATAATTTCTTCCCCTCAATTTTTTCTTCATGGAACCGCCAGTGCATCCCAAATTTATTCCCAAGAAAATATGAATAAGACGAATTAGGCATGCGCGGAGTAATTTGAAATGAGATAACCACTCTAGTACAACAGTTTTTGGGGCTAACACCGGCCGTTAATTTTATCTTTTTTTATCTTTTTCTTTTGTCTTAAAATTTTTCCGTCATTGAGATGCGTTGACTTTTTCCTTTTTTCTTTATTTTGATTTTTTTATGATATTATTTCGCCGATTATCTGCTTTGATTTTTTTAATTATATTTTTCTATTACTCAAAAATTTCAATAAAAATAAAATAAAAATCAAGAAAAAAAATGTCAACGCTGTTAAGCCGACATTCAACATCGGTCAACAGCGGGAAAAAAAGATCAATCGACAAAAGAGTCAACCGAGTTAAAAAGAAAGTCAACGTTGGATTACCAAATTTTGAAAAATTGGGGTCATTGGTTAAAATTGGTTAGTTGATGAAATAGGAGTTAAATTATGGTTGTATAAAATTTTAGAGGTTTTTAGAGTATTTTGAAAGAATACAGGGGTCTTATTGTAATTTTCTCAAAAAAAAAACCCAAATTCAACCGTTGACCATTACTACTTAACGGTCAAACATACGGAGGGACTTTAATGTGTTAAAATGTGACAACATTAGTATGTATTTTGTTGACGGCGGTAAATGGAGGACCAAAAGTGAAAAACGTGCAAACTTGGGGGATCAAAACTGTAACTATCCCACAAATTGGAGTATAAACGTTTCAACACAAGGTACAATCAAAATGCTCACTCACTTAAACTAATTAATCCTACCACAAAGGAATTATCACACATGATTAACTAAATAGACTACTTGGGCTCGTTCGGTTACCGCTATAAGGTTCTACTGACTAAATAGTAGGGGCTAATAACATGTCCGGTTGGTAAGATTCACACATTTTCAAGCCCGCTACTAAATTCAAAGCCCGCTATTAAATGCTACTATTTCATTAAATTAGTAGCACCCATACCCCTGAGATTAATTTAATAGGGGGTGACTAAAAAGGGAAAATACAATTTTATCCTTAAAATTATATTTTATTATTGTAAACTAAGTGGTTTTATAGACAATTCATATGTAATAACTGATTTTAACAAATTTAATAGAAAATCTAATCTAAGAAACCGAACATGCTACTAACTAAATAATTAATTAGTCAGTAGGAAGTTAATCCAATCTCATGTTATCCAATCTAATCCAATATAGGTAACCGAACGAGCCCTTAGTCTCACACATAATCCATGTATAAATCACATACTTGTCATATTTATACCTAAATTGATATAAAACCGAAGCAAATTGGTATATAAAAATTCATAACCATTTGTATCAATATAATTTAAGCTCCTAAACATATAAATACTTAATAATCACGCTTACTGAACATAAATTAAGGCTCGTAATTTATTTATAATTAAAATATGTAGGTTTAGCCTCTTCGCCAAAGCCTTTGGAGACTTTTAGCATCCCTCTCAAATCAAGATATCCACCTCAGCACTCACCTATTGTAAAAATAAATCAAAGGTAAAAATAAATCAAAGGTAAAAGGAAACGATAAATGTTTTGGGGTAAACCTCTTTTTTGCAATCCTTTTTACTTCCATCTAGACATGGCCATGGGCCGGTTCGGGCCGGTTCCGGGCCAGTTCACTCCGATTCACGGTTCATTTCAAATTCTGATTCTAATATCTGTGTTGATTTTTCTATATAATTGTGACAAGGGTTCACGGTTCACGGTTCACGGTTCTCGGTTCACGGTTCACGGTTCACGGTTCACGGTTCATATATATAACTGTGACAGGGGGCGCCCAAGTAAGAATTCCACTAATGCAAACAGAAATAAGTTAAATTTTGATTCTGATATCTGTGTTGATTTTTTTATTTTTTATTTTTAAATAGGAAACAATATGGAAAAGGTGAACAACCGCGACATGAGAGATCTACAGAGAGTGCTCCATCAGATCTACTGATGTTCACGGTAGCTTCATAATCTAGTCCAATATCCTCTAAATGACGGATATAAATCTTAATGTCCTACAAAATTTAGAACTTGTGAGTGGAAGAACTTGTAGATAAAACATAGGATCAGAAGATCAGTAAAAACTACCTAAATCTTAATAAAGCCACGGTTCTCTTCCCATCCAACATCCCCTTGTGTTATGGTAGCATCAAAGGGTTTTTTTTGTCATGAGATTGACATTCACTTCTGGTTTAGCGGTAAACTCGATGACACCGCCGTGTTGATCGTACCATGCTATCTTAAGAATTCTCAAGCAAGAACCAACTCTATCCAACAAGCATGCTAGGATCAAAACTGGATTCACAAAATGATAAAATCCCCATACATAAACATAGTAGGAATTTCGTAACCATGCTAGATAGACACCGGTGCATAACGTTTCAAAATATTGAGTTTGGCGCTAATTAGAGAAAAGCAATACCATATTCTACATGAATTTGCGGAAATAATTGGATGAAACTAATACAAGTCACAGACAAGTAATAGTTAGCAAGTGGAACCACAAGTACAGTGATGAAGGACATAGGAATGAATGCAACTAAAATGCGGCACTAACAACAAAATACATTATATGGATAATCATCTGTTAACTATAACATTAAGTTCACAGGAAAAGGAAAGAATGATGCAGAAGGCAGGAATTAGTATAGTAAATAGAAGTTGTTTTACACGTACATGTGATAAATCTTCAACATTTGTTGTTTGAATCTTAATTTTGAGTTTATTAATACTTTAGTTCAAAATAATTTCAGATTATACATGATATGGTAGTCCTGCAAATATACATATTTTAGATTTTGGAAAATTTCGTCAGGTGACTTTTCACCACTGTACCATTAAGCCTTAAAACAATCAACATTGCCTAAAGAAAAATTAGGATAAATAATAGGGTAAATTACATTCACATCGCCGAGGTATGCTAAAATAACTTTAAGGTTTCTGTGGTATCGATAATTACACTTACCCCCTTAACACATAGTTATAAACTCTAATGGGATAATAGATTGGATACATTATTCCGATACAGTTTTAACGGACTATTAGTTTTTGGAAGTGGTGGAGACAACAAAGAACTATGCGTGATTTAAGAAATGTTTGAGGAGCCATGTCACCGTATAACTCTATGAAAGCTATGCTCATTTTCATTCGGTCAGCATTTGCCTCCGCGAAATGCAGTATAGTGGGGGTGATTTTGCAATTGCAAATTATAAAAATGCATGATATTTTCCTCGTAGGAACTTTTAGTTTCTAGTTTATCCTCAAGTCCTTCCTCAAGAATGTAAAACTTAGTATAGCAGATGTTTTGACTTCGATACAAAAATAAATGTTTTGGTCAACGGTCACCACTTTCATGTTTTGAATAGGATGAACTATGCCCTCTCCAGATTATGCCGTTTAAATCCTCTCAATTCAAACTTTATCAATGCTATAATATAATTTAGGGTAAATTACAATCACCCCTGAGGTATGGTCAATTTACAAAAAAAACCCTCTTGTTTGGATAATTACATCTACCCCTCAGTTATGATTTTTTCTTACACCTCCACCCTTATGATGTCAAATTCGACATAATCATCTAGATTTCGTGAAATGTGCTCTAGTTTGTACTCGTTTTGTGTAAAAATACAGTTTCTGATGCACCACAATCTGATATATACAAGCTTAAAAACACATATTATGATCATCTTGCTTCAAAATGTGGAGTTCGAATCAGATACAACGGGTACAAAAGTGATAATAATCCATATAATCTCGAAAATTCGACGAATTTTGAAACCGTAAGAGTGGACGTGTAAAAATATTTATAGTTGAGGGGGTGGTTGTAATTATCCAAACAAGAGGGGGGGGGTTGTAATTTGACCTTACCTCAGGGGGTGATTGTAATTTACCCTATAATCTATAATACATTCCATCAGCCTCGTTTCACATTATTATTATGCTCTCTCCTGCAGATGGCGATGGCTGGAGTATCTCCTCAGATATGTATCCTCACTAATATCCCATCCATTTGAATGGTCACTCACTGATGATCTTACTATCAACTTCAGGCAGAAGATAAAGCTCGACGAAATGTACGATCAAGCAAAAAACGAGCCCGATTTGTTCTCAGATTCAGCAACTACAAGGCTGGATAACAGAGATTCTATTAGAAATGGTAATCATATTCATCTTTATAAAGGGTTGATTCATTTTTGTATTATTCAAAAAAAAATGAAGATTAGTGAACTTATTGGTTAGCAGATTGGTCGTCGTTTCACACTCCCGACGCATCAGGGCCAAGAAATGACATGTGGCAACCGAGACATAACAGTTCTAACTCAACCTTTGACATGTCTGGAGGAGGCTCCCCTGCAAACTTACCTTCAGAAATTCCAATTAATGCTGGCAATAAAATGCCTTATTTTTTTTTTTCAGGTTGTAGATAGGAGATGTTTGTCGTTTGTAAGCGAGGTATAGACTTCATGCATCCGCTCTTCTGAATTGGCTCGCCAGAGAAAAGGCACAAGAAAACTGCTCTCACGGACTACAGATAGATTTACTCAGTTGTAAGATATATCTTTACTTCTCGATAAAATAGATCATAATCATCAACTTTTGGCGTTTATTTCACGTGCAAAATTTGTATAACGTCGTTGTGCCCGGTAAAATAACCCAGAATTTTGAAATTAAGATTGAATGATGAGTAAAATATCGGGGCAGGCATTGACACTGTTGTGTTTGCTATGCAACCATCTTTCAAATTTATTGATCTTTGATCACTATTATGCTGCAACTGTAACACAGCAATAACCGTGTTAATCATAACAAAAAAAAAAAAAAAGGAAAATTCCCATTCTCAGTTTTCAACTAGCTCATAACTTGGGGGAAAAAAATATCTACGAGTGCGGTGACAAATAAACATTTAGCGGTGGCGCCCTGGAAGATAGTTCTATTGTATCTCCGAGCTGAATAGAATGAACCACGTGAGAACCATCTATATATACGAGCCCCTCTTTACAAAACCATGCGATGTCCATAGTTTCGTACGACTTCAAGAATCCATGCATTAATTGCGAACTAGCCCCTGGAAAAATTGGCTCTCTTACCATATATTGAAGCTCTTTGGATAAAATGGGCATTATAGATCCACCAGCTGAGTGCATCGCAGCCGTTGATCCAGCAGCTGTGGAGACTCTGAGGCCACTCGATCTGCAGTGCACCAAAGAAGAGAGAGGCTCCTCCTCTTTTCTGATCCTATTAATGCAAGAAAATTTAATGATTTCTTTTTTTATATTGATGTTTTGAAAAAAATCGGAGCAATCTTTTTCTTTACCTGAATGAGAATCGAGAAACTGTTGCAGGGCATGGATGAGAGAGTAGAACATCATTCAGTGCAGAAGTTGCGATCAGCTTTGAATTGATGCTAATAGCCATCCTTGCTAATTCAGATGGGACAAAGCGTTTTTCAAGGATGCCGTCTAGTAACTGGGGACGATAAATGGTTTCAATATGGCCAATATTTTTGTTGTTTCAATACAGCGATAAAAGCTACACCGATACTTAGCCTCACGTTTTTGTATGCATGGAATTGAGCAAGCAAACTCGCAAGATTTATTAGAGAACTACATCTTTGGAATGAGAGTTCATATATCTAAGATTTTCATTAGTCTTAAATGATTTTAACAGCAACGTAGACATGTTCATAAAAATATGAAGAAATAAGCTTTTGAAATGGGCGTACACATAGTTTCACTAAAATTCGAGAACCCCAAATCTCGCAATTTCTGAACAGATAAGCACATCAAGGTTTTTTAGACAATTTCAAGATCTCAGAAACTGGTGACTCGTTTAGGCAGTGCAGTTACTTTTTCTAAGTAGTAGGACCCGGATTTTTTTTTCTTTTTTTCTTTTTTCTTTTTTTTTTTTTTTTTTTTTGGTTGAATCTCCAAGTCTTGAATACCCGTAAGCAGACAGAGTTTCAAAGAAGAAGAAAATCGTTCAAGTGGTCGTTTACCTGTTCAAAGTTGTTGGCAGTGGCAGCACAAAGATAGCCAGTGCTCCTTGTAGCATCGAATTCTTCACTTAGTTCTGCCACCTAAAATAATAACATAATTACTTTGTCACATCAACAACTAAATCTAAAAAGAGCAAAAACAACCTAAGCAAATCTACGCGAAGCTGGAAAAATAATAATAATAAAAAAAAAAAAAAAAAGAATTAACAGAAGATACAAATATGTAATTTCGATCAAATAAATAATCCCAAAGTAAGCAAAGAAACACGCTAAACCTCGTGTGGTCGAGTGGGATCTGAATTTACTCCTAGAATTGGAATGGAATCATCCATTAAATGGCTTGCTTGTAATAGAGTGCCATCACCTCCAACTGAAATGACGAGATCTACATCACGGATAGGCGTAGATAGATCAGAACGAAAAACAGATTCCCAGTCTACAGCTTTTCTCTTCAAAATACTCTGGCAGAAGTTAATGGCATTCTTGTGAGCCAATGTTCTGTCATACAAATATCTGAATACCTGCAATTTCCTCAGGTAGAGAAACCGAATGTTATCTGAGCATGACATAGTGAATATATAAAAGGATACATGAGACATTAAGTTTTGAACTACAAAGCTAATGACCTCAATTATAGAATTTGATTTTGTTAAAAAAAAATTAAGAATGATCCTGATTCCTCGGGGTTTAAGAAAACACTTGAATCAATGCAAAATTAACAATATATAAGTTTTATTAATTGGTGTAGTTTAGTTCCATTCTTCCTATTGCCAAGTTCTTCAGCGGTAAATCAGATTCATGTAGTCTCAAACCAAAATCAGAAAAGACGATAATTCCATAACATACTACTTATTCATATACCAATGTAGTCAAAAATCATTCATATCAGACGGAACTAAATGAAGCAAAGTATTATTTCCACAACTACTGTACGTTTTGTATATGAAATATTTGAGACAACTAGAGCAGACTGATCGGGGTGACTTCAATTAAAAACGAACTTCACATACAACGTACGATAAATCCTGAAAAGCAAAATGAGGGAAATGTTTTGTGTGGTTCTACCAAACGACCTATTTGAACTATTGGGCATAGCTACTCTCAATTCATGGTGGAAGAACCATAACACTAGCAACTCTCTGCTTTCACGAAATCTTCCATAGTGGGGCGGCACCATTTCTATACAGTACAACTCATCATTTCTGTCACTAAGTTTTCCCAAAGCCCATTCATTTCATAATATAAAGTTACGAAAAAAAAATCCAATCTTAACAAACATACCTAATAGCTTCCGAAATCGACATATGCGCCAAAAGTCTACGGCACGGCAACACAATAACAACTATTGAATGGCAGTACTGGTCTTTGAGGCATATTATCAAACAGGTGATGTACTCAATTAATTATGGATTCTTTCTTCCTAAAAGACAAATGAAAAATGCAACGAACAACCCGGGAACATAGCTACTCACTGAGTAATCAATGGACGACTACTGTAGAATCCAAAATGAGTTTCTCTGTTTTTCGTTTACATAATTTCATGTTGAAAAATTGCGTACCTTGTGGCGGTTGTTGGAGGAGGAGGAGGAGGAAGAAACGGAATGAAGAGAGGGTTCGTGAGAAGGGTACACATCAAATGGCTTCAACAGCAGCAGCAATCTCTTCCGCGCCATTTTCCCCCTTTCACTTTTCTCTGACGGTACCACCGGAATGGATCCGATTAACCGGCGAATTTTTATGTTAGAAACTATTTTAGTATAAAAGTTTATCTCAAAGGAAATTAAAAACAAAAAATAAAACACAATCAATAGAAATTAATAGAGTTAAGAACGATAAAATTCAATTAATTGAGTAAAATATTAAATTATCAATAAATTAACAATTATTAATCCATACATTAATTAATAGCTTCTTAATTTATAAAATTATTATTATTATTATTATTATTATTATTATTATTATTATTATTATTATTATTATTATTATTATTATTATTATTATTATTATTATTATTATTATTATTATTATTATTATTATTATTATTATTATTATTATAATAATAATTATTATTATTATTATTATTATTATTATTATTATTATTATTATTATTATTATTATTATTATTATTATTATTATTATTATTATTATTATTATTATTATTACACATTCGAAGAGTTATTTCTATACATCATTATTGTTATTTTTAGCAATGAAGGAACTCGCAATCAACTATATATATGTACTCGGTAAACATTTGCAAACCATACGAGAGACGTAAACCACATTAAGTTAACCACGTGTGACAAACTCTACCTAGCAACCGTTGGCGGAAGATTCAAACTTGAGTCAATTGACACAGATTCACTTGCAAAAACTGCTAGGCATATTTCACTAAATTGGTCTCGAGTGTCAAAAAGTTTGGGCCAATACATTAATTCTTTTACAATGAGCTTCTATTTTAAGGTTCTGTTTGGTTGGGAAGATTAACCACGATTAATTAAATAATTAGAGTGCGTTTGGATGGAAAGATTTGGGGAGGGATTTGATTTGGGGAAGGGATTTGAAATGACTCCAATTTTGGAGTCATTTGAAATCCACCTCAATTGCTCAAAACATAACTAAAAGGGAGGGGTGTGGATTTGAAATCCATCCCCAAATCCCTCAATCCAAACAAGTCCAAGGGATTTGTTATTATGGATTTGAAATCCCTTCCCCAAATCCTTCCATCCAAATGCACCCTTAGATTTTGTTCGATGTTTGGTATCTCTAATAATCTGTCTTGTCGACCCACAAATATTATGTTATCATAACTTATTTTACCTTTGACGAGAGCTTGTTTGTTAGACGTCACGTGGTCCGATAAAATAATTGAGTTTTCATTAAATTATTTAATATTATATCAGTTAATTTTATCTTGACAACCAAACGAGACCTATGTATTTACTATTTAGTAATGGCCCAACATAGAAAATAATTATTAGGCCCGTTGAGCGGCCCAATTAAACATACTCTATGATAAGTGAAGTAATTAACTTCTTTAATTTATTGCATGCATATGACTTTTGTTTGAAAAGTATTCGATCAAATCTAATTGGATTAGATATGCATTGACTATATAAAATTGGTAATTAATTAACTTAGTGCATGTCCACATCAACATGCATATTAATACAACATACATATTTCTGCATGCATGAAGATTTCAGAAATCTCAAATAGAGCAACACCAGCAATAATTATGTCTCCATAGGGTCTCTTTATAGTGTCAAAAATTATTTGTACTCTCTTTTTAGGACAAATTTAATTTTGCCTTTGTTTTGTCTTCTTGATATCGATCATGTCCAGAGAAATTAGGAGGTAGTGCAAAGGTAGCATACGCCACCTCACGTGCAAACGTGTTATATTTTAATAATTTTTTTTACGTAAAAATGTTTGATTAAGTTTCGAGGTAATTGGAACAAAAGACTTTTCATTTCGTCTGACTCTAATATTATATTGCATAACAGCATATAAATAAATATACGTGTGCGTACGTTCTTTCTTAATTTTTTTTTTCTTTCTCTCGAAATCAACTTAATAAGAAACGAACAAATTTATACACAACATATTGCGAAGATGTTAGATTGGTAATGGGCATCGTTGGACATGTTTGGGGTTCGTAACCAACCAGTTTGGCCGACAAATATGGCCAATTAGCTAAACGCTTCTGGAGCGTAGGGTAAGGGTCTTATAAAAAGGGGCTTGCTATTATCAGTGCGATTTTTACCACTCGCAGTGCAAAATAATTCATTTTTTTTTTCTTTTCCAAATCTTATCCAAATACCCTCTCAAACACTCTCAACCTTTTATTCTTAAAATTTATCAATTTTGGTAATTTTTCGACCAATATCAGTTAGAGCACAAGTATTATCGACATGGATGACAACGGCTTCGATTTTGAGGTGAAAATACACGTTTTTTGTTCGTTTCCAACGTTTTTACACATTTCGTGTTATAACACACGAAATATATGCTTTCATTTCGTGTAATCCTATACGAAATATGTATTAAAATCGTTTGTTGTTTGTTTCGTATACAATCATACGAAATTCAAGCTTCCATTTCGTGGTAAACACTACGAAATGCAAGCTATTATTTCGTGTGTGTTTACACGAAATGTAGCCTACATTTCGTATGTTTTTACGAAATCCCTTAAATATTGTCTTTTAATTTTAAATATTTATGCAGGAACTAAGAGAACAGTCTCACGATCATAGTCACTTCTTTGAACATGGTATTGTGTGTGATAGTAGAGAAGCGTTAATCATGTGGGCAAAAGACACAGCAATTAGTCATAATCATCGACTGATTAATCATTTTAAATCAGAAAAACATCATGTTTTAACGTGTGCAACATATCAATCTGGACGACACGTACTATTAAAGAAACGTTCTTGTCCGTTCAGGTTAATTGGCAAAAAATCAACGGAGGATGGATTATGGCGATTGAGTGTGAGTAACGGTAATCATAACCATCTGCCGGGTATTTGAAAGTTTAACTTATGTTTAAATTTGTATTTGTTTTAATTTTGCATTCAAACTTATGTTTTGGAATATTTAAATTTGTAACGTTGTGTTTTGCATTTTATATGTTTAACCTATGTTTTTGGAATGATTAAATTTGTAAGGTTGTTTAAATATGTACTTTAATTGCTTCAGTTGTACGTAGTTTCTAAATTCAAATCATAAAACTAGTGAATTAAAATACAAATAAATTATTAAATTATAATTAGTTCATAATAAAAATAAAAATAAATTATTAAATTAAATAGTTCCTAACAATAATAAAAATGCATAGTCATAATAATAATAAAAATAAACTTTAAAATTAAATAGTTCATAAAAATACATAACTGGCAAAAAAGACCGATAAACTACCGCCTCGCTCTCCTCGGCGGCTGCACCTCATGATCGTCGTCGTCATCGTCGTCGTCGTTGTCGTTGTCACGGTCGATGCCAAGATATCGGGCGGTGGGCTGCATAATATCTCCAAGATCGGCACGTAGATCGGCAAACTGCTGCATCCAGTCCTGTCCAGTGCTCCTGGTGATCGGGTACAGGGCACGTACTACCTGGTAATAAGCCGGCTGATCTGGTGGCCTCACATTCTCTCGATGCACTAGAGCCGGGCCTACGTCGGGGTTGTTGATCTTCGGATGAGTCCGATCGGTGTACCACTCCATGTAGTGCTCGTCGACTTCCCCCCGTTGTCGTGCCGTCTTGTATGCGCGGGCACGAATGGAATGAGCCTGGACCATGTCCCACATCCCACCCGGAAATGGGTAGTTGACTTTGTACGATGTACCTCCTTTGGGACCGCGTGAACATGGCTCCATCGACGGAATCAAGCCGCGCGGTATATCCTGAACCCACCCGAACTGTCGGACGCAACGATCAGGCATATACGGCTCTACGACCCACATGTACTGGATCGTGCCATGATACAACATACGAGGGATACTCTCGTGTATATCCCGACCATACGGTAGCCACTCGACCTAAACAGAAAACAATATAAATACATAAATCAAAAATTCATATTTAAACAAACTACAAGACATATTTAAATCAAAAAATTCATATTTAAAATTCATATCGAAAAATTCATATTTCAAAAAATATAAATACATAAATATAAAAGACTTACATCATCCGCTGTCATATTGTCGAGTAAACCTCGAATATGCTCGAGCGTGCCCGCTTTTGGCGGCGCGTTCCACCTCTTGCATCGAGGCTGAAACTCGCGGTAGCGCTCGCTCTCCTCCGGCGGCTGGAATCTCGGGAAATACTCGTATATCCAGCACTGCAATATTTTATTTAAAGATATTAAAATTTATTAAAATATATTAAAATGAACAAAATAAGTTCCAAATATATTAAAATTTACCTGAAGAAGAGTGGTGCAACCCGCCAAGCCCCTCGACTGTGCTCGGCTGCATATACCCAACTCTCTGTATAGATTGGCCAAACAGGCCGAAACCCACGAATACGTGCCGACCGCACTGAATCCTCGAGCACGTGCATATACCACGGTTTCACCCGATCACATGTCTTGTCGGGGAATAAAATCGATCCGAGGAGAAACACCAGGTATATCTGAACTCGGCGTCTCATGGGCGTGTCGGGCATCAACAACTGTCCCTGTAACATCCTCCATGTGGGCCCCCCATGCTTCCACGACTCGTCAATCTCCTCAAACTTGAGGTTTAAGGCCTCGGACAACAAATACACGCAGTTTGTCCGCTCGATGGCATCGTCGTACTTAGGCGCGACCACCCGTCCCTCCACATTGGCACCTAGAATCATCTGGACATCGTGGAGAGTGATAGTCATCTCTCCCCACGGCATATGGAAGTTGTTCGTCTCCGGCTGCCACCGCTCCACGAATGCAAACAACAGCGGAGTATCTATGCCCTGTAAATAACATCGGGCTAGGGGATACAAACCGGTCATCCGCAGAAAATGCTTGTCTACGGATACATCTACGTCTTCTAGGGCATCTGCTATCTTCTCGTAGTTGAATTGGTTCAGGGAGTTGATACGGGACTCCACTCGTCCAACCGGACGTTCCTGCAATCATTTATTTAGAAAACATATTAATTAATCAACTATAAAAATATTTTAATAGAAGATACAAAAATTATAATATTAAAATTAAAACAAGTAATTAACTTACTTCTCCCCTCCAAATATATGCCGCTACATGCGACTTGAAACTCGGTATCAAAGACGGATCCCGCGGGCCACCGGGAAATGGACCATCTAGCACATCCGGATTGACTCGAGTATGAGGTCGACCTCCACGGCCCCGTCCTCGGCCTCCACGACCTCTACGACCTCCACGAGCTACAACCTCAGAGATGTGAACGGGGTCCACATCTGCCTCCTCCTCCATAGCACGAGAAGACCCAACATCGGGATGTGGAACTGATGATCTGGCTTCACCAGCTCTCTCAGCCTCTCGCCTACGTCGTGTAGACATAGTCATGCGCTCGCGCTCGCGCTCTTGATGTTCAGCCTCTTCACGAACTGCTCGCATAATTGCACTTGATTTCCCTTTGCCTGCCATCTGTTAAATAAAACACTATTAACATCAGTATAAATAATAATAATAAATAAAATAAATCTTTAAAAAAAAAAATATGAACCGTGCTGTTTCACTGTCATTTCATGGACAAACACACGAAATTAGTGCCTCTATTTTGTGTAAGAACACACGAAATACAAGCACTAATTTCGTGTGTTTGTCCACGAAATGACTGTGAAACAGCCAAAGTACATACGTTTCGTGTACAATTACACGAAACAAAAGTTTACATTTCGTGAGTTTCTACACGAAATGTAAGTTTATTTCCGAAAACTTTCGAACATAATTAAAATACTCAAAACGTATAGATTTTCGACGAAATTTGTTAATATACTACTATAAAAACAATGGGTCAATGATTTCGAGTTCGAATTTTACCTTAATTCGTTGTTGAATTGCTCGTTTAATCCGCAAGAACTCGAAGAACCTTGGATAGGGTTTGAGAGAATTTTGAATTTTCTTAAGAAAAGTTACAAATGAAATAAAGTCGCACTGCAAGCCGGTAAAAGTTGTTCTATGAATAGCATTTCAGTATAAAAACCGATTTATGGCCAACCCCGTAGATGTACAATATGTAAAATATCGGTCTTTTCAACCTTCCCTTTGATGCCTCTTTTAATTTCATCGGTTCACTTTTATGCCATCCCCGCTTGCGATCCTACCTTTTGAACTTTGTTTATTGTAAATATAGAATGATATATATATATATATTTTTTTTTATTACTCACACCATATAACATGTATATAGTTTTAGAATATAATATTTCATTAGAATGTTGTACGTTTTATTGTAAATATATGAGTAAAATATTACGAAACTCATTTAAATACATGTAAAACGATGTCATTAAGGTTTTCGGTTCGGTTCAAGGGGTGTGGTTTTATGTTGAGAAACCATACACGAACCACAACATATTCGGTTTTCAAAAAAGAAAAATCAACCCACACTACAAAAAAAACTGTTTTAAGTGACACAAAAAGTCGTCGCAAAAACTCAATATTTCGTCGCAAAAGAATTTACGTGACAATATTTTTCGTCACAGGGGTCGTCGCGTAGCCCCGTCGCGAAAGGTGTTATGTGAAAAACTGAAGTTTTCGTCACAAATATTGTGACAAAAGCAAAATCCGTCACATAAAGTTCTATTGTTGTGACAAAGTGTTCGTCGCATAAACATAATATGTTCGTCGCTAAAAACATTTGTCGTCACAAGAAGTAATCTTTTCACTTACTTCTTGTGACAAATTATTTTGTCACATGAGATATAATATCTATTGAGACAATTATTTCGTCACAAAAAAGATTATAACAAATATATAATTTGTTATATAATATTTATATTATTCATATTTAAATTAAATAAACTAATAATACAATTCCACAAAACCAAACAATGATTTCGGAAATAAAACTGTTTTGCAACACATCGTACAATTACACATACAAAATACATGAGTCAATAAAATCAAATTGAAACTTACATTAAATTAAATAAACTACATAATATATAAACACCGTCTTCCTTCAGTGGAGCGATATTCTTCCTCCTCACAACCTTCTTTGTACTTTCGAATCTGCAAATTAATAATAAAAAGATAAGCAAATATAAACAATTGCTACTTAGCCGAAATTCAAAAATATTATTTATCGTAAAGATACTCGTGTGTATATATAGGGTGTAGAACATATCATTTGACCTTATATTAGTAGTTCAAGCTATACATAGATGGCTAAGTTTGAGCCAAGTATAAGTACTTACATATTTCCAACTTCGCAGTAGTTTGTCACAATACATATACAGTTTCCCTGCATAAAATATATCAGAAATTAGAAAATCTTTCAACACAAAATCAGATTAACGAAACAACATAATACCT